AATCATAAATGAGAAAAAAGCTATTGTTTGTGGCATAGCAGAGAAGTTTACAAGTGTACCTCAATTTAAGTAGTAGGTAAGGTCCTTTAAGAATTGTGTGTTCTTAGTGGAATCATTTAGAATGAATTATAGGAACTCAGTCTTTTAAAGAAACTTGATGGAAATCTTTTATTATATTCTACTTTTAACATAGCTAGATTAATTGATTGTGTGTACGGTGTTGAAAGGTTGAATGGTAGAGAGAAAAGAAGCACACTTTTGAAGACTGTGATTTGTGTCCAGGCTTCACAACCAATTAGAAGTGTGACCTCAGGCAATCCTGTTGACTTCCCTGAGCTCAAGTTTACTGTCTGTAATATAGATAAATACACATGAAAGAAAATACTTTGACATGAAGAGTGATAGATTTTTTTTTTTTTTGAAACTTACTAAAATCTTCATTTTCTTTCAGAAACAGTATAATTATGTTCAAATGTCACACTGCTTCCCAATTTTCTGTCAGGATCCTAACCTAGAAAATGCTACTCGGTAATTCTTAAGTTCAGCATAATCATTTTACTCAGAAAAGACGAGAGTACCCTTGCTTATTTTACACTCAAGTATGTGACGTTGTACTTGGGGCCTATAGCAACATAGAGGCATGCCAAAGTAGCTCTTCAGAAATAGTGAGATAACATTTTTACTGAAGTAATTGCAATTTTACTGAATTAGTACGATTTTCTGTTATGAAGATTTACTGGAATGTACTTGAGAGAAATACTTGGAACAGGGAAGTTTATTATATGCTTATATACATGTTATCCACTAGGAGGGAAAAAAACTGTGTCTTTCTGATGTGTCGAATAGGAGATAAAATTCTTACTTATGGATTACTTTATAGATTTTTTTCCTTTAATTTATTTGAAGATTGTTCCCCTTCAATCTTGGATGAATGAAATGACTTTTACAGGTTGTTTAAATCCTTTAATCTTCAGGTTTCGCTCATAAAGTTCACTCATTATTTTGGGAATTTGGGCAGCTACTCTAATTAATGGTATATTGAGAGAATTGGGGGTTACAGATTACTTGAACCAAAGCACAATTAACTGGTAACTGTTTTCCTTTCTTCTTCTGTGATGAACCTATAGTAACAGTGCTAGCATAACCAACCTTGTTTTTTATATGACTTGTCGTGGATAATCATGTCCACTATATAATGGTTTGCTATGACATGAGTAATATGTAATAATAATAATTTTTATATAAAGTATGGAACTTAATTCCGTGTTCCAGCACCAAGCTTTAATGGAGTCCTCCATGGCTGCTTTTAAAGCTTTCAAGTTGAAAGGGACTTGTGATGGTATTAGGTTTATTCAAAGCAGAGATACTTCTGTTATCTTTCTTATTTTGCTTCTGAAATTAATATTGACTTATTTTAATATAACATAATAGTTTGTAACCTTCATCAATGAAATTTTAGCTATGATTGAGCTAGAATAGAATACTTTGCTTAAATTAGTCTCTTGGTTTTGGGATGCATATTGATGAGTCTTAAGTCTCTGTTCTTAGAAAGACTGGTTGGGTAACTTTTCTTTTATCACAAGCCTCATTGTGTGTAATTTGGTGCCTCATTGAACAGAAGAGGATACATAGAAACTTTTTAAATGGTGTGAAATTATATACTCCTCCTAAGTTTTGTTTCATAGCACTTCAGAATGGAGTTTTGGTTTTCACTTTGAGCATTTAACTAGACCTGAATATTTTGCAAGGTTTTTTTGTTTTTGTTTTTTACAGGACAGGGGGAACAACTTACTGGTGAAACCTGGAGACGCTGGAGAACTAAATTCACAGACTGAGAGTAACTGACTTAAATTACAGTTTTAAAGTATGGATATGTAGTAGACACATATTGTGTTTAATAATCTTTCTGTATGAGGAGAAAAGGCACTTAGGCACACTGTTGTATTTTCTAGTGATGTCTGTCTCAGGTCTTCTAAGGATTTATGTTCAATCCTTATTAAGAGCAACAATGCATTTTGTTACAGGTTTTAGAATCCTGTCATTTATACCAAACCGTCAGATCTGTGTCTAAGTGATGATGATAACAACTGATATTAATTACGTGTGTCCCATATGCCAGGCAGTGTGCTAAATACTTTATGTGCATTATCTCACTTAATCTTTAGGGCATAATGGCAATTTACCAGTGAGGAAGCTAGGGCTTGGAGAGGTTAAGTAACTTACCCAAAGCAGAGCCGGGTTAGAATAGTTGGATTTATTGTCCCTTGGGTCCTGTTTTGCTTATAGCTAATATCTCTGAAAACCAAAAGTAAGATCATTTGTCTTTCTGGATGCAGATTCAACCTTCATCCTGCTCTTCCTGTTGCTGAAGGTACCCATTTAAGGTCACTGGGAAGTGCCAAAGAGTTCAAGGTGCTCTTCTCAAGGCACATGAGTAGCAAAATAGCAAAAGATCAGTGCCAAACTAGATACCCTTCTGTGTGCATGTGTGTGTGACATCGTAATGTATTATATGACACAATCATTTGCACGAGTATATATTTTATGTTGCTATGTAATCTAGGAATTATTTGTCATCTCTCTTTTGTCCTTGTTTCAATCCATCTGCAAGTCCTGAAGGTTCTGTCTCCAGGACACATCCCTAATTTATCCATGTGTCTCTGCTTCCACTGTCCGAGACATAGTGCAACACTGGTCTTCTTGCCCGAACAAGAAGTTGCAGTCGCCTGGTTTCGTCAGCACCCACTATTGCCCACCTATAATCTCACAGGGTAGATAGAGTGGCCGTAATGATCTTTTTTAAAGCCTAAAAAGAGATCACGTTGCTTTCCTGCCTAAACTGCTTTAAGAGCTTTTCATTGCAGTTTAGAGAAAATCCAGCTTTATACATCTATTCTTGCTTACTGTGCTTCAGGCTTACTGGCCACTTGTATATTTTTAATATGTACCAAGTTCTTTCCATCTTGGGTTTTTATACATGCTGTTTCCTCCACCTGGACTCCTCTGGTCATTGACCATCTTGTAGTTGATTCCGTATCATTTAGTTCTCAGTTCAAATATCAGCATCTCTACGCAGCCTTCCTTGACGGATCTAGATACCCCCCCACCCTAATACTCTCGTTACTGTGTTGTATTTTCTTTATTGTCATCACTCTGAGTGTGATGTTACTGTAACTTATTGCTTACTTGTTACCTGTTTCTTCCCTACCTGAATGTGGACTTCCTGAGAGCAGGGCTTCTCCTATGCCTAGAAAAGTGTGCCTGGCACATAGCAGCACAATTAAAATTGTATTGAATGAATGAAAAATTTCATGTCACTTTAACATTATATTGTGAATATTTCCCCACAGTCTTAACTATTCAGAAGAGAGGTGGTAAACTCTTGATCTACAGTCCAGATCTGGCCTAAAGACACATTTTATTTGGCTTATTAAACAGTAGTGGTGTTTGAGGTATAACTGCCATTCAGTCAAGTGTACAGCTTCATGAATCGTCCTGTTGTGTGTGCCTAAGTAGCCACCTCTCAGATCAAAGCGTAGGTGGTGCTCTGATCTCCCCCTTCCAGCTGTTCCCCCTTCCACTGGATAACTTGCGTAGTTACTCTTTTTAATTAGCGTCTAATATTTAAAAATTGGGAGATGTCACATAGAAATCCAGAATTTCAACATTTCTTAAAAAATGGAAAGATGTATCAGCACGGGAATTGCTTTCTTTTTTGGCCACAATTTATTGTGGCTGGGAAGCAGCTGTCCAAAGTGTTGACATGTGTTCTCCAGTTTGCCTGTAGTCTTCACCTCTCCTCTTCCTATCCCTGACCTTGAAACCAATTTCCAGTTGCTGTTTATAATTTCATTTGATTTTTTTTTTTATGGTGGAGAAATAGTTACTACTTCCATTATCTCTGTAAAAAAGTGGAGGCATCGGGCTTCCCTGGCGGCGCAGTGGTTGAGAGTCCGCCTGCCGATGCAGGGGACACGGGTTCGTGCCCCGGTCCGCGAAGATCCCACATGCCGTGGAGCGGCTGGGCCCGTGAGCCATGGCCGCTGAGCCTGCGCGTTCGGAGCCTGTGCTCCGCAACGGGAGAGGCCACAGCGGTGGGAGGCCCGCGTACCGGGAAAAAAAAAAAAAAAAGTAGAGGCATCAATGATAGACTAAAACGGTTATGTGTTTCTTAGTCTACTTTATTCATATGCATTTCTTAACTTTTGTGTATGTGTTAGCCACCCTAATTCTACATGGCTGTGTTTAAAGGTTACACGGTATTCGAGCATATAAATGTATTATTTATGTAACCAGTCTCCTACTGTGGAACATATATGTTATTTCTGGGTTGTTTTTTTTTTTTTTGGTATTGTAAAGAACAATATGTAGGTGAATCTTTGTGAAAATTGTTATTTTATTAGGATAAAATTTTAAAAGAGGAATTCCTGGATCAAAATATATTTTCATTATTAAGATTTTTGATACATATTGCCAGATTGCTTGGTAGTAGTATAAATTGATCTAATTTTTCTGGAGAGCAGTGTACGGGAGTATTCATTTCACTACGTCTATGCCAACACTAGGAATTGTAATTAAAAGTTTTGTTAGTATAGTTAGTAAAAACAACAAAAAATGGGAATGCTGGCCAAGAAATTTTTCATCTTTTCATCTACATAAGTAGGAATTGTACTTTAAAGGGTATAGTTTGGAAGTATTTATTAGTTAGTACAATTCTGTACCTTATATTGTGAGTCAGATCATGTACCATGTACTTTGTGTATGAAGTAATGCGAATACCTTAGTATAACTCGAGAAGCCATTTACCTTGATTCTTGCACACGCACACACACACAATTATTATTATTAAGCTCTACCATGTTCTGTATGAGAGTACAGGAGAGTAAATAATGCAGAATCCATCTGTTTTGAAGTACATACAACTAATTCTTACACATTGGCTTTATATTTGCTTTCATATTTTTAATTAGATGCTGTTATTCTGTGATTTGTTTCCTAAGGAGATGCCTACATAGAAGAGTGACAGCAGCTGGGCTGAACGTTTCACTGCTGAACTGGTTCCTCAGGTATCCTGGCTCTGGCGATTGCTATGGGAGATTGGATGACTGTTACAGATCCAGGTCTGTCTTCAGGTAACTGAGTTTAGAATAGTTGTAAGCAAAAGCAGTAATTATAAAGGTTAATTTTCAATGACACTGTAATTACCAAAAATATTGAAGATGTAACTAGAGAGAGACATAAATAGTTGTAAAATATATAATTTTCATCTTCAGTAAAATTATCACGGAGAGCTAAGTATCGTGCCTGATCAGTGGGGTTAAGTGCTTTGGCTGACTAGTTGATTACTTGAGGAGGAGACTTTTCTGCATTTGAAATAAATTCATTGGCTACTCCAGTACATTGCTCTGATTTATTCCTTTAATCACATAAACTTTGAGTGCATAGACAAGTGGGTTTTATCTATCAGTTTCATAAATCTAAAGTATTGTAAAGTAAGATAGTATATTGTAGCTTAACATGCCTTTTCTAGGAGCACCACTTTATTAGTTGTATCTTTTTGGAAAAAATTATATAGTTTTCATACAAAAACCAGCTTTGTCCTAATTTGAAAAAACTTAAAAATATTTCTATAATTCAAAATCTTTGGTAATGGAGATTATGTTGTTAGCTTTGCATGCATTTTTACAAATTATTTACATAAATGCCTTTTACTGATTCTTTCAGAAAGCAAATATATCTCTCAATATACCTCAGAAACAAAGATGTCTCCATCAAGTTTATACTCACAGCAAGTGCTATGCTCTTCAATACCTTTATCAAAAAATGTGCACAGTTTTTTTAGTGCCTTCTGCACAGAAGAGAATATTGAACAAAGCATTTCATATCTTGATCAGGTAACATGTTTTGTTTTTGTAAGAAGCAATAAATAACATAAATCATGTTATATAATAGAACATATCAAAGGTATGAGAAAAACTTGTCAAGCGCAAGTACGTTACATATTGGCCCGGGACTTATATTAGATTTGCAGAGAACCTTGGTGACCATCTAGCCTAGATACACGAGGTAAACGTTTTTGTCTGGATCAGGTTGGATCCCCCATCACCCCAGGGGTTCCTCCACGGGGAGTCTTACCCTTATTTTACTGATGCAGAAACCTAGGTGCCTTCTCCAGATCACAGGTGATTGTAGAGCAGAGGCTAAAAGAGCGCAGTTCTCTTAATTCTTTGTCCTTTGGCATAGGTGCTACTTTCTTAACTATCTCAGGTTAGTTTTCTTTCTCAGAAAAGATTTCTGTCTTTTGTTTATTTATTAAGTTGTCCGGTCACCAACTTTTAGGAAAACATTTTCTCCTACTAGGAATTGACTACTTTCGGTTTTCCTTCATTATATGAAGAATCCAAAGGTAAAGAGACAAAGAGAGAATTAAATATAGTTGCTGTTTTAAATTGTATGAATGAGCTACTTGTACTTCAGCGGAAGAACCTTCTAGCTCAGGAAAATGTGGAAACACAGAATCTGAAACTGGGAAGCGATATGGACCATTTGCAGAACTGCTATGCAAAACTTAAGGTAGAAATTACATCTCAATCTGTATTTCAATGCCATTGTTATGTAGTTTGAAACTATAAATTTTCATTGGATTTATTTAGCAAACACATTTTAGGGTTTTGTTTTTTTTAAGTTTTAGGATTTTTTTTAAACTGGAAAGTAAAACTGAATGTAATTTGTACAAATCAGTTGTGCTGCTTCCTGATACTATCTATATCGAAGGCGACGATTTTATGAACTGTTTAGTGTCTTGCTGAAACTGTAGAAAGTTAGATTAGGAAGTACTTATATCTGAGGACAATAAAATAAGGATTCTCCCACCCTATCCAGTCTTGCTTAATAAAGTAGATGCTTAACTTAAAATAGTCTTATTGTGAGAGATTGCATCAATTTGATTGCATCAAATTTCAAGAATATTCTTGAGAGCATCTACGCCCTCTAGGAAAAATCTTGAGCTTACCGCTTGCAAGGCAGAACTGGTGTCATGCTGTAGTCCCACCCTTTTTGACCTGAAGTGTTCTGCTTTGCTTGGCCGCCTGTCTTCTTCATACTTAGCTCCAAGTCATTTTTGGCTCTTTCTCAGAGTGTGCCGTAGAAGTGTTAAAAAGTATTAAAAAAGAAATTATGAAAATGTTCAGTGGCAACATCACTGGAATAGGTAAAGAGTCTTTCAAGAGATCCACTTTGAAGGTCTTTTGTATATACATTAAAAATCGGTATTTAAATTAAATAAAATTTGATATTCAAATTTAGGTAAATTTTGTAACACTATAGTATCAAGCTTTATAGTAATTGTTTTAAATAAACATTTTGTGTGGTGCTAAACTTCAACTTTAGGTAACAAACCCTAGTTTATGTAACTTGTTTTTACTAATCTTTTAAGGATTCAGTTGCTCTGCATCCTATGTTAATTTTAGTCAAAATTGCATATGAATGTTTTAGGAGCAGCTGGAAACCTCCAGGAGAGAAATGATTGGTCTTCAGGAAAGAGACAGACAGTTACAATGCAAGAACAGGAATTTGCATCAGCTACTGAAAAATGAGAAAGATGAGGTGAGTTGTCAGTTATTGCAGATAAAGTTTAAGTGAATTTTTTTTTTTTCTTTTGGAATTTGAGGTGACCATAATGGTCACGACTTTAAAACAAAAAAGAACCATTTGTTCACCCTGTGTCACATTGGCCTGGAGAAACTATGTGTATAGTGTCGTATCACATTTAACTGAGAGGCCAGGAGCCCTCCCCACCACCCTCTCCCCCAAGCGCATCCATTTGCCCTAGTAGGTTAGTCCAGAGCTCGTGACATCCCAGTGTCCTATACCATCTGTCGTGGACTCACAAGCACTGTTAATTTTTTGTCAGACACAAGGGCGCTTTAAATGCAGATCTTTTATTCTCTGCTATACCTTCACTTGTATCTGGAATGCCTTTTCTTGCAGTGTCTTAAATGTCAACATTGTTCATCCAGTCAGGCAATTACTTGACTAAATGGACACTCAAGTTACTGTTTAAAAAAAGCAATTCAGATTAAAAATCTCATTTTTAGGCTGAAGACATCATAATTCTAATCTCATCTTTGCTTTAGTGATTACTTAGTATTTGGACCTATAGAGTTAATGCATTTGAAATTATCTTTCAGTTTATGTAAGAAGAAATCATTATGTTTTTATTGCTCTGCAGTTTGATTTCTGACCACGTGATAACTATAAAACCATAACATTTTCAGTGTTGTGTATGTTGCTCACTATAATTAAAGACTTCTAAGGGAGCGTATTTCTTTAAGGACCTTGTAGTGATTTAGACAGATTTGTTTTACCATATTTGATTATTTAGTAGTATATTTAGTAAGTGGGTAAGAAGTATCTTAACTAAACCACAAGGTTACTTATACTTTTCCTTGAGTTATTTCACAGACAATTTTGACTTAATCTGTTGATTATACTTGAAATGTTTTGACTATAGTTCTTCCTCATTGAGGATTAAGTTGAACATGATCATCTCTAGCAGAGATAAAGAATGTCGGTATAGAACTTACTTCCTTCCCAGGGCTGCATGAGAAGTCTTAGTAGATATAAACATTGACCAGTAGTGCTTGGCATATAATATGTACTCAGCAAATGTCTGAACTGGATTCTCTCTGCTGTTTGTCTCACTCTAATCTGAGAACTGTTTTTGATCAGAGAAAAATGAACCTGTTTATCTACTGCCACGTGTCATGACTAATTGGCCTTGTCACAGATTGATAAAGGATAAAGTGATTCAAGTCATTAGTAAAAGGAAGTCATTACAAATGATCAGATGAAATCTACTTGCTTCAAATGAAGCTTTAATCACATTAATACTTCCATAAGAGTTTGTGGTTTCTAAATGATCAGAATCTGTATGTAGCGTGAAAGGTGTAGACGATAATTTAGAGAGTTAGCAGCTCTGGAAATTTCATAGTTAAAACATAAAAACTTTATATGCTTCATTTAATGATATCTTAAAGAGTGATTTCCAGTGGTTACAGAGAAGGAGGAATAATCCTAGAATTCTTAAACTATTATATGAGGAGCTGAATTCTAGGACTTCTTTTCTCTACTGAATTTGTAAATTTTAACTGGGTTTACCAGTCCTAAAGGAACTCACTTAATAGAAAATGCTTTTTTTAGGTGCAGAAATTACAAAACATTATTGCAAGTCGAGCTACTCAATATAATCATGATATGAAGAGAAAAGAGCGTGAATATAATAAACTAAAGGAACGTCTACATCAACTTGTTATGAACAAGAAGGATAAAAAAATAGGTAAGGAGCAGCTGGCTAAGATAAAGCAAAGGGAACAAATAAGCTAGTATTACACTAAGAAATAAATGTAGAGGGATTGAGCTCAATAATTCATGAAGTGTCCTTTTCATGCTTTATACAATTGATTTTAGATGGTATATATCCATGTAAACTAGAAATTGAGACAACTGGTTAGTTGAAAAATAGTAATTTTGCTTTGCTCCATTAGTTGCATATAAGAATTGCATATATATTTGTTAACGTGACAGATGTAGGATTAATCCACAGAGAAAAGCTAAGCCAGAGGACACTCTAACCTTTCATAGCAAAGAACTGATTATATTAAAAATCAGGATCAGTTTCTGAGTACCAAAAGTGTGATTTTTGAGTTAACTTCATAAAATGGTTCATCAGGCCAAATCATTCATGCCAGTTTGAGTTCTTTTAAATTAGTTTAGCAGTGCTTTTTTTTTTTTTTTTTTGCGGTACGCGGGCCTCTCACTGTTGTGGCCTCTCCCGTTGCGGAGCACAGGCTCCGGACGCGCAGGCTCAGCGGCCGTGGCTCACGGGCCCAGCTGCTCTGCGGCATGTGGGATCTTCCTGGACCGGGGCACGAACCCGTGTCCCCTGCATCGGCAGGCGGACTCTCAACCACTGCGCCACCAGGGAAACCCTAGCTGTGCATATTTGAAGTACAGCCGACTGTGAAAGTTTTGTTTGTTAAAGTATACTTTTTTTCTATTATTCTTTTGAAACTTAATTTACAACTTATTTCATTCAAGTTTGTGCATAATTCCAAGTAAATAGTGTAGATTAAAAAGTAGAACTTCACTATTCAGCCGTAGAAAAGAACGAAATAATGCCATTTGCAGCAACATGGATGCAAGCAGAGATTATCATACTAAGTGAAGTAAGTCAGAAGGAGAAAGACAAATACCATATGATATCACTTATATGTGGAATCTAAAATATGGCACAAATGATCCTATCTACAAAACAGAAACAGACTCACAGACATAGAGAACAGACTTATGGTTGCCATGGGGGAGGGGAAGAAGGAGGAGGGGTGGACTGGGAGTTTGGGGTTAATAGATGCAAACTATTACATTTAGAATGGATAAACAACAAGGTCCTACTGTATGGCAAAGGGAACTATATCCAATCTCCTGGGATAAACCATAGTGGGAAAGAATATAAATGAAGAATGTATATATGTGTAATAACTGAGTCATTTAGCTGTACAGTAGAAACTAGCACAACACTGTAAATTAACTGTAATTCAATTAAAAAAAAAATAGAACTACACACACACAAAAGTAGAACTACACAGATAAAGTGTTGCTGGCCTGCCAAGATTCAGGGAACAGGAAATATGTGCATTGATTTATTGAAGAGTGGTTTCCAAGTGGGCTATAGGCTGTCATCTAACCTACATTATACATTATTCTGAACTTGGACTTGCATACAACAGCTGATGAGCAGATGTTTCAAGCTGTCACATGGTGGGCTAAGCCTGTTACCAGCAAGCAGTTCAGTGTTCACTGTGTCACTGTCATTCTGTACAGCAGCGCTGTTGCAGTTTTTTGAACATTTTATTTTAAAATTATTGAAAAATTTAAGTATGATAAGTAGCAGTTAAGACGAGGTTAGAAATCGAAGTATTCTGAGATTATAAATCTTAAACTTGGACACTTATTGGTTTTTAAGATTGGTTAACCTTGTGTTCATTCATAAAGGGAATAGCAAAATTAAAGAGCAGGATGAAATGCTAGAAGTATAAAATGTAACAGAGAAGTTTATTAAATACTTAACCCTATAGCGGAGCCCTTATATTATGGTCGTCTGGCTCTTTTCCTGGTCCAGACCCAACTGGAAGTGACAGTTCTGTAATGATTTTTATCAGCTCTAAAATTATAATAACTTATTCTCATCTTTTTTCCTTCTTATGCCAACTGCTTTCATCTCTACCTGGGGCAGAAGAGACATTAATACTGTCAGGAGCCTTGTCTCCTTTGATGATGAGGATGATGGTGGTCATGATACAGGGCATGGCAAACTTTTTCTGTAGTGATCCAAATAGTAAATATTTTGAGGTTTGTGGGTTCTGTGGTCTTTTGTCACTCTGCCACTGTAGTGCAAAAGTAGCTATAGAAAAGAGATGAACAAATGGTGTGGCTATGTTCTAATAAAACTTTATTTACAAAATCAGGCAGCTGCCCACAGGCCATAGTTTACTAGCCCCGATGATAAAATTAATAATGATAATTAAATGAACACTTATTAAGTGCCTACTGTGTTAAGTACTTTAACATTTCTTTCACTCTTCACAACTCTTTGATAGATACTTTCATTATTCCCACCCGATTGATGAAGAAACAGGCTTAGCAGTTAAGTAACTTGCCAAGATCTCAGGCTTATGAGTGATGGAACTGCAACTTAAAATCTGGGCTGTTTGAGCCTAAATCCTAATTTGTATACCAGTTGACTTACGTCCCTAATGCATGTAGACCGTTAGGGTTTTAAACACTTAAACTTGTGTGGTAAGAATTGGTTTTGTTCTGTGTGTTCATGTTTGTAGCTATGGAAGTTTTAAATTACGTGGGGAGAGCCGATGGAAAAAGAGGCTCCTGGAGGACGGGTAAAACTGAAGCCAGGTAAGGCACGAATGAAACTGACACATTTAATCAGACTTCCCTTTCTATACTGCATTTTCATACTGACAGTTTCTTTCTCAGGAACGAAGATGAAATGTATAAAATTCTCTTGAATGATTATGAATATCGTCAGAAACAAATCCTAATGGAAAATGCTGAACTTAAGAAGGTTCTTCAGCAAATGAAAAAGGAAATGATTTCTCTTCTTTCTCCCCAAAAGCAGAAACCTAGAGAAAGAGCAGATGATAGTACAGGAACTGTAAGTGGCTCTTTCCTCTCTAATACAGTCTTCAGATCGCTGATTAGAACAATTAAAACAGTAGATAGGGATTCTCAGTGGGGACGCTGTTGATATTTTGCGCAGGACGCTCACTGCTGTGCTACCCCCAGTCACTCTGACAACCAAAAAAATGTCCCTGTAAGTTTCCAGACATGCCCTAGGAAATGATGGAGGTGATTTTCTGGGGACTTAATCTGTGCCAAGCACCATGAAAAGCACTTTATAAGCATTGTCTCATTTTAGTCTTATAATAATTGATGCTTTGGGTACTATGACTATCCCTATTTTATAGGTGAGGAAATTGAGGCACAAAAGCTATCTCAGTATCACGCATGACAGAACTAGGATTTGAATCCAAGTCTGTCTCACTCCAGAGCTCATGCTTTTAACCACTGTGCCAAATATCCTTTAAGTAGCTTAAATGTTGAGTAACTTTAGCAGGCTCTACTTTTCAGAGAGTGAAACTTTTATTAACTTTGGGAACCAAAGAATCACTTAGTCCATAAATTTATTGAATGTTCATTATGTGTTCTAGTCCCTGGAGAGAAAAAGCTGAGAAGATTTTGACTGTTTCCTTTGCCTTAGTTCAGGCTGCTAAAGCAAAGTACCATAGACTGGTTGGCTTATAAACAAACAAAAATTTATTTCTCGCAATTCTGGAGGCAATCAGGATGCCAGCAGGGTTGGTGTCTGTGAGGGTCCTTTTCATGGTTGGATTGCTGACTTCTTTCATCCTCACACGGTGGGAAAAGGTGAGAGGGCTCACTGGGGCCCCATTTATGAGGGCTTCACCCTCATGACCTAATCACTTCCCTAAGATCACCCACCTCCGAATGCCATCACATTGGAGGTTAGGATTTCAACATGAGAATTTTGAGAGAACACAAACATTCAGACCATTGCATCCCACAGGAACCTTTTTTGAGAGAGACAGGCATATAGAGAAGTAATTATTATACACATTAACAGCTATAATAGGGTGGTACAGTGTGTAAAATAAAACAATTATGGCAATCAAGAAAGGCATCACAGGGGAAGTCACATTTGAATTGGCCCTTAGTAGGTGTTTTTTGAGGTAGAAAGCCTGGGGAAATCATTTGATGAGGGCATAACATGTAGAGGTCAGAAAAAAAAGTCACGTAATGGTGAAAATGTTTTTAAACTTAGTTCTTTACATATAAATTTAAATTCTGGACTCAAGCAAGTTCACATTAGTAACTAAAACCTGAAAATAACAATGTTGATGAAGAGTAGTAATTACCAGTAAGTCACCCAACATGTTTTATTAACCTATGTTTGAGGATTATTTTGTGGTTTCACAAATCAGTCCAACTGATAAGCTCATCTCCTTTTTTTTTCTTCTTTAAAAAAAGAACCTGAATGTTCTTTTTAGACTCTCCAATTTGGGGTCTGCTTGACATATCTTATATTCAGTTAACTAACCTTTTCTCTCAAAGTCTATCACTTTGGGTCAGTTCTTAACACTCACTAATACCTTGCCAGGGTTAGCATAGTTTCTGTAACTCCTGTGGTTTCTTCAGTTTTGGACCCAACCTTTACTAATGTTTCATTACCAGCTTTTAGTCAGCAAAAGTAGGTAGTAAATCAAGGAGATCTTTTTCAGATGATAGTATCCTGTATAATTTCTCATAATTCAAGTGTTGAAGTTTGGAGAAACAATAATATCTTAAGTGTATTTTCTGTTTTTTAAAAGATCCTTTTTTTCGAGATACATTATCTCTTAAAATTTAAGTAATTCACCCATTCCTTACTTGTAAGGAAAGATTTTGGCCCATTATAGCAAGAAGGGTAAGACATAACCTTGGAATGCCTAGGTAGCATCCAAATTTTCATTTATTATTTTGCTTAATTGTAGCCAAAATATATACCCAAAATTCACGTTAGATGCATTTTTAATTTTTTTGTGGTTTTAGAGTTTCACTCAATCTGGCAATTATTAATGTGCAGCAGTTAATTTTAATAATGAATTTGTAGCATCCTGGTGTGCCTTGAAATGTATAGCAGAGAAGGTGTAGCCCCTTGGAAGAATTACTGTCAGGTAGCTCCAGAGTGTTGATTGGCAAGAACCGGAGTCACAGTGAGCCACACCCTGGGTTTTTCCCCACCTACGCCCCCCGGGAGACCTAGACCTCTACCAACCCATTGCTGACCTCGGACTGTTGATACAGTTCTTCAGACTCAGTCACTCCCTCACTCCTGCTGCATCTATCGGTACATGTGGGAACAGTCTAATCAGCCCTTCTTTCTTTTCAGCGTCTCTTCTTTTTTTTTTTTTTTTTTCCCCAGCAAGATATATTGTTCAAATTAGTTAAGTAGTTAAGTATATGTATCTACTATCCTAATTTGTTAATAACAAATTAGGACCATTTTATGTAGATGCAGGTTATTATGACTAAATGTATTATGAATACATTTTGTATTGCTTCCCTATGTTCTTTATCCTGCTTTTGACTTTATTTGATCATATCAGTGAAGGTTGCTACATTTTCCTGTGATTTAATCTGAAAATGCATGTAAATAGAGTACAGAGAAAAATATCTCCAGTTTTATAAAATAAAAATTATATGAGAAAAATAGGATTAACAGTTGCTTTTACTTTGGAGATTATTTCACAGGTGTATTTGTCAAAGCAACCAAAAATTGGAGGCAAGTTGGACTGGAGCTGTGTGACATCAGGAAAGTTAGTCTGCTTCTCTAAGCTTCAGTTTCCCCACGTGGTAACATGATTTGAGGACTAATTAACATGTGAAAGCACCTAATAGCATGAGGCAGGTTCTTCTTCCTTACACTTTTGACACTAACTATGTTGGGCTTCAAATTCAGCTTTGAAGAGACCTGAGTTGGGGAATTTCTATCTTCAGTATTAATTGCTTTTTCTCAAGACATTTATGTTAAGGACTGGGTCATTTATGCTTCAGATACAGCACAGAAATGATTTTGATATGTGTCTCTGACCCAGTCTGATGACTACTGCCTGAGTGTCTAAAGCCATTTTAAGATTCTGGTCTTTCCCTCTCATCTCTGGCCACTTGCAGGTTATCTCTGATATTGAAGAAGATGCTGGGGAACTGAGTAGAGAGAGTACGTGGGACCTTTCCTGTGAAACTGTGAGAGAGCAGCTTACCAACAGCATCAGAAAACAGTGGAGAATTTTGAAAAGTCATGTAGAAAAACTTGATAACCAAGGTAAGTGCTGCCTGACTACAGGTAGATTGAGCTGTGACACTCAGTAAGCTGACTTCAGTCAGTCACCTAGAAAGGCAAGTTACGGGCTCAGACTGAAGTCCTTAGCTCAGTCTGGTGGTTCGAAAAGCAAGACTCTGCCTACTTCCAGACATGCGGTTTGAACCTCACTGAGAAAAAATGCTTTGCTCTCAGAGTGAATGTCTCTGAAAAAAGGACATCATATGTCCATCTGCTCTGAGTGCAGAAGACAATTGAATAAAGTGAACTGAGTCTCTTACTGTATCATGGAAATCGGGAAAATATTAATCATAATATAGTATAAATATGAACCTTTTGCTTATTATTCCTAGATACTTGCCTATTCCTAGGTTGCTAATAATTCATTTCTAAATTATTTTCAAAATAATAGACGCTTGTTGCAAAGTATCAATTAGGAAGTGTTGGTTTGGCCAAAAAGTTCGTTCGGTTAAGGAATACCTTGTTCAGTAAAGTTCTTGGGTCACTTGTAGACATGTGGGTGGACCTAGAGACTGTCATACAGAGTGAAGTAAGTCAGAAAGAGAAAAATAGTGTATATTAACTCATATATGTGGAATCTAGAAAAATGGTACAGATGAACTGGTTTGCAAGGCAGAAACACAGAGACACAGATGTAGAGAACGAACATATGGACACCAAGCGGGGAAAGCAGGGGGCGGACAATGGTGGTGGGATGAATTGGGAGATTGGGATTGACTGTATACGCTGATATGTATAAAATAGATAACTAATTAAAAAAAAAAAAAGAAAATTCTTTAAAAAAAACAAAACAATAGACATCTGATGCAAAATATCAATTAGGTATTGGGTTGGCCAGAAAGTTCGTTTGGTTAGTAAATATATTGTTCTTGGTGGAAATGAAAAAATGTCTTTTATTTTTACTTAAAAAACCGAACGAACTTTTTGGCCAACCCAATATATAAAGTAGAATATTCAGGTCTCTATTCCCTATGTGTAACACCTAATAGTTTGGTGCATACCTTTCTAGACCTTTCCCTGTGTGCTCGCAAAATATTTATTTTAAGTGTATACGAACCAAAAATTGAATATTACATGTTTTTTTTCCTACACTGTGCTTTTTTCACTTAACAGTCTATTATTTTAGATACCACTTCTTGTCATTATAGATAGTGTAAATAGATATATGTAGATGAATATATCCTTATTTTATATTTGTTAAGATTCGCATGCTTTTAAATCAAGAAAATTAAGATTTCTGCTAAGTAAATGAAGTCTATTTAAAGAAAATTTATTCTAAATGGTCAAAAATGACAAACTCAGTGCTAATTGTCTCCAAAAGTAAAGAGCAATCAGCAAAATTATAGTATCAAAATTACTTTACATGAGATTTTATTGATTTCAGTCATCATTGTCTATTAGTAAATAGCAAGTATTTTCGGACTTCATATTTGTTGAATTTAATAACAGCAAGATTTGTAGCACTGCACTGATCTTTGAGGAAGTGTCAAAAGAACATAGTTTATGAATGTTAATTTTTCTGTGAATATAGGTTGTACCTTTTTAATTAGGACATAATCGTGAATAAATATGAATTACAGATTAAATGTTGACAATAGAGCTCTGTAAGTAAGGATATCATTTAGTCCAGAAATAGCATGAATTTATAGTTGCCATGAACTCCTTAGAGCTGCTTTGTGCTTTTTAAAATTTTTTAGTGTTAAAATAATATACATTTTGTTTTATTTTATTATAGCTTATAGAATTTTTAAAGGGCAAAGGAAATACCTACCTTTTAGGAAACCTACAAGATTCCAGAAAGGGAAAAGTTCTGCGAGCCTTGATTTTTAAACATATGTGTCCGAACACCATAAACTAAAATGATGACTGCAAGGTTTATGTCAAATTACTGGTTTTGTGTTAGTTTCAAAGGTACACCTAGAAGGTTTTAATGATGAAGATGTAATCTCACGTCAAGACCATGAACAAGAAACTGAAAAACTTGAGTTAGAAATTCAACAGTGTAAAGAAATGATTAAAACTCAGCAGCAACTTTTACAGGTAAATGCGAGGCACCTTTTAAAGCTGGTCTCCCCTGTGAAGGGTCAGAATTTTACTTAATCTTACTATATTTTTACTCCTTTATTTCATAAGAGCTGTAGTATTTGGCATTTTTCAGTCTAAACTAAGTTCTGTACTTGCCCGGAGGTAGACCCCGTAGCACTCCTTAGTAGGGGCTTTGCCAGTTAGAAGCATTTGGGAGATGAGACTCCTCATTTCAGTTGACTTTCTGATTCTTTATCATTCCTCTCCTTCCCCTGAAGTTTGACCTGCTTTTCCCTTGTGTTCATTTCAACTTGTTGGAGGGCTGCAGGGACCCTCTGGCGCTTACTGTGTTTTGAAATCTAATAGCAGCAGCTCGCTACCGCGGGTGATGATGACACCACTTCACTGCTCCGAGACTGCTACTTGCTGGAAGAGAAGGAACGCCTCAAAGAAGAATGGTCCCTATTTAAGGAGCAAAAGAAGAATTTCGAGAAGGAAAGACGAAGCTTTACAGAAGCAGCTATTCGCCTAGGATTGGAGGTATTTTAAGCAATTGGCTTTCCTTGTAGAGCGTTTGAAGGTCCTGGAGAGGTCAGTAGAATGCATCTAAGTTCCGCTTTTTCTTGTTTCTTTGCTATCCACTTTTTTTCTCCAGTATTTTACTAGTGATTTCACAAATAGCTTGAAATGGAAGCTATAACAGAAGGATATCATTTTGCCTTTACCAGATTTGGGAATTGAAAAATAATTTTTTTATTGAAAAAACTATAAGCATTTATCATCCTTTTTGGGTGGCTTTATTTTATTTCGTTTTGTTTTGTTTTGTTTTATGTTATTTTTTTGGCTGCATTGGGTCCACGTTGCTGCACGCAGGCTTTCTCTAATTGCGGTAAGCAGGGGCTACTCTTCATTGCGGTGCATGGGCTTCTCATTGCAGTGGCTTCTCTTGTTGCAGAGCATGGACTCTGGGGGCACAGGCTTCAGTAGTTGAGGTGTGTGGGCTCAGTAGTTGTGGCTCATGGGCTCTAGAGCACAGGCTCAGTAGTTGTGGTGTACGGGCTGAGTTGCTCTGCGGCGTGTGGGATCCTTCTGGACCAGGGATCGAACCCGTGTCCCCTGCATTGGCAGGCGGATTCTTAACCGCTGCGCTGCCAGGAAAGTCCGTTGGGTGGCTTTCTACTGTTAAGGGTTTAGCTTCACACAAGAGGTTTCTTTTGGGCATCTGTCATGTCTCCACTGTCAGTAGGTGTAGAGTCAGAAGAGAGTGCAACCAAGAACATGTCTTTTGTTTTTAAAAAAGGGGGTTAGGGGTAGAATACAGCAAAAATAAAGTTCTCTCTCTCTCCATCCCCTTACCCAGGGATGAATGCATTAACAGTTAACAGCTTGAACTGTGTGCGTATACACTTCGACAGGTCGCTTTTTTATTTAGCAGTGTATTACCTACATATTTCCTTTTCAAAAATTAGAGAAGTAATGTCTGAAAATGGTTTAAAAAAAGAAATTCAATCCATACAAAAAGCTACAAGTTAAGACAGTATCCTCCATTCTTATTGCCAGTTTCATCCCTCAGAAGTAACCACTGTTAAAAGTTTGTGATTCTTCTGGGAAGTACTATTTTAACTTGAAATAAAGTTCAACCTTCCCAGAAGTACTATTTTGATCGATATAAGCCTATCGATCCCCCACTATGAAAGATAAGGAGTTTAGTGTCTTTATCATACCTCCCATCTACACTTTCTCATTTACATATGATTTCTTCATAATGTTTTTACTTTTTGAAGCTACTTTTTAAAGAATTATTTCTCCTGGTTGACTTTCTTGCTTTAAGTAAATTTGTTTAATGCTTCCATTTCAGGTTTGCTCAACTTCAGACAGTACAGGTTTATCCCTTGTTGCACTGCTCTTACCCTTCGGCTCCCCAGGTTTTGTCTGTGATATTAGTTTTCATTGTCAAGGATTATCACGTTTATATTCCGTCTTTTAATACAATTCAGGTGTAAGTACTTTGTCTAAGATGGAGACTTAAGAATTAAAAACCAGACAGAACGTTGGTGACGTAGTGATTATGTAAATGTTATTCATTCTATAGCCAAGTAATTTTTTTGGACACATAAAAAATATTCTGTTATTAAGATTTTGCCACATGGAGGAAAATCTTCCATGTATCACTATGTAGTAAATACTTTGACTTTCTTTGTAGCTTCCTTTATGATTTCCTGCATCAGATTCAACTTATATCTCATGTATAGTCTCTCTCTTCGGTTCCTTTTCCAATTTGCTGTATTACTTTCTTGAGTCATTTTCTCATAAGTAGCGTGTGAGTGAAAAATATTCTGAATTCTGGAATATCCGAAAAATACATTCTTACTTGATTGGTTTGGCTGGATACAGAATTTAGTTTTCCAACTTTTCCCCTCACAACTTTGGAGTTATTCCATTTCTTCCAGTGTTTTGTTTTGCTCACGAGAAGCCTGGCTGTTATATAGCCTGTATTACTTTGTAGATACCTGTGTTTTGTTTTTCCCCCCTCTCTGGAAGCTTTTGGAATTTTATGTTCTTAAGAGTTCTGCAATTTTACCAGGAAAAGTCTGGGTAGCTCCTTTCGGCCTGAAGACACTATATTTCTTCAGCTTAGGGATATTTTCTTCAATTCTGTATTTTTTCCTTCTTCTCTTGCATTCTGGAACTTCTGTTAGACAAATGTTTTGCCTTCTGACTACATCTATAGATTGACTTTATGTCCTGAATTCAGGAATATTTTCTCACTCTTATCTTGGGCATCACCAACCTGGTATTCAGCAAAGGTCAGTTTTATTATTCACTTCATCCACTGAGTTTTTGTTTCAGAATTTATCTTTTAAGTTTTCTAGTGTCCTTATTTTCTGCTTTTTTGGGGGTATACCATTATATTTTACAGATATTCATAAATCTGTCTGATAATTTTTGTTATTTGAAAAAAAAGTTTATCTTGAACTGTTTCCCTTGGCCAGTTCTCTTTATTTATCCTGGCCGTGTTTCTTTTATGCTGTTAGTTTTCTTCAGATGTCTGGTGATCCATGATTTTGTATTAATATTTATGAATGAAAGACTATAACGTTATCTTAAGTGGCTGACATGACCTCCCTCTGTAATTACAAAAGCCTGTGTCATCAATAGCTATCTTCCTCAGGAGGCAAAAACAGTTTGCACCAGCATTTCCTCCTGTCTTATGGGCTCACCTGTGTTTCTGAGCCCATATCCCCCCACCACCCCTGATGCTACTCCAAGAGATACTCTTGCTGCTTTGCATTACCACTCCCCATTCTCTGCCTGAGACTCTGTCTGCCTCTGGTCACTGAGGACAGTGGGGCCAGTGAAGGATGGGAAGGAAGTATGAGAGACCCGAGGGGAGAGGGAGAATTCAGGATTGCTAATTAGCTATTCAGGAGGAGGAGGTTTGACATAGGCCCGAAAGCTGCTAGCACTGGGAGATGGTTGGAGGATGAGATCAGTGCTTGATGAAGTCATATCTCTTTTTGTTTTTCAAGTGATTAGTTTACAGTGGGGTAAATGTCAATTTTTCTGTCGCTTGTAATCTTATATTTACCATGTTTTGTGTGTTCAAAAGTTATGCTCATATTCCATATGTTTAAAGTTATGCTAACATGCTTATCATTTTGTGTTATACACTTGAATTTATTCAGAATTGATGTGAAAATAGTAGTTGGCTTGTCAGGAGACACAGGTGGATTTTTATTTTTTAAACGTAATTTTCTTAACTGAAATTTTTCTTAGTTTTCTAGGGTTAATTCCTTTGACTAAATATATAGAGATAATCAGAGAGCAGACACAAATAGCTAGAGAAATCGTGTGAAATGGCAATTGTGTGAACGTTGAAGTATTTATTGATCGGTATTTCTTTGGTTTGCTTGTGATGGTAGAGAAAGGCATTTGAAGAAGAAAGAGCCAGTTGGTTAAAGCAACAGTTTCTAAATATGACTACCTTTGACCACCAGAACTCAGAAAATGTGAAACTTTTCAGTGCCTTCTCAGGAAGTGAGTACTTCATAAACTCTTTAATCTGAAAATGCATGTAAATAAAGTACTGTAGATTATTATTAATCTATAACTTTAGCAGTCACCAGTAAGAACTCTCTAATTGGAACTAAAAATTAACTTTGATATTTTATTTGCTGGAGTCAAAATAGAAATGACAGGAGGACTTTGCATACCCAGAGCAACGTTTGTTGTGAATGTAATAATGTCAAGTTTTGAAAATTCACAGTCTAGAAATATTTTTTAAACTGGATCCTTCTAAATGTTCGTGGACTGTGCATAACAAAGATCACCGGATTACCTAGACTAGACTCAAAGGGCTACAGTGGATATTTAATTTGTTCTCTCACACCTCACTTAGAACTGCAAATGAATCTAGTCTAGGACCCTAGTTAATTACCTTCACTATGTTTAATGCTTTTCCATATGTAGTGCCTTTTTTCCTTCCTTTTTTTTTCTTTTTTAAACAGGTTCTGATTGGGACAACCCTACAGTACACTCGAGGCCACGGCAAAAGAAGCCTCACGGTGCACCTAGTGGGTCTCCAGTTTGCACGTCTAAACTTACTAAATCTCTTCCTGCTTCTCCTTCTACTTCAGACTTTTGCCAGACGCGTTCCTGTGTATCTGAATATAGGTACTGGTCTATAGGTGATCTTCTTACATACTTGTTAAAGTGCTAGAGTTGCGTTGCAAAGGAAAAGTTGGCGTGTCTAGGAGGAGCACCAACAGTAGAGACTCTGGAGAGGAATTGAGTAGATTGACTCATTCATTGTACAAATATTTATTGGCTATCCATTATGTAGACACCTGTTAGGTGCTGGGAATACAGCAGTGAACAAGGTAGCTCTGGTCCCTGTCTTCTGGGAGCTAAGTCATATAATGTGATTCTTTTTATTTCACGTGTAAAATACAATTTAAAATACAATCTTATTTCAGGAGTTACTTAATAATTTAATTGTATTGAATAGAAGGATATTGTTTTGATAGTTTCTGTAGAGTACCTATTTTAGAGTTTCCTGTGGTGTGCCCATTTTATTGGTGTGGAAGGACAAAGACCCGAGAAAAGCCCCCTCCCCTTGACTGGCGAAGAGGATCTGTGCCCAAGGATGACAGGGTAGACAGAGTTGCTCCCCACCCCCAGGAGAGCCAGATACTGCTTTTAACTGATGCGTTGTGGTATTTTCCTCTGTCTGAAGTTGTTACATCATTTTCTAAGGTATAATATCAGTACTCTACCTCAGAGCCTATTCCAGGATTGATTTTGAACTAAGCAGATAGAACCTTCCTAGGGAAATAGAGAGGAGTAGCAAAGAGCAAAGGGACATGTCGCAGAGTGTGGTGGTGATCGCTCTCCTCTTCACTAACGTAGGAGACAGTGGCACGAGGGCCTTCCCAGGCGCCTTAGGAAGCAGGAGCCAGGGCTGCAGCGCAGTTGGCCTGTTGTAGTGAGAGAGAGACTGGTGTGGAGCTAAGTGCTGAAGACACCAGCTAGCCTTTGGACCAAGAATTGTGAAATAGATTTTTTTTTTTTTTTTTTTTTTTTTGCGGTATGCGGGCCTCTCAGTGTTGTGGCCTCTCCCGTTGCGGAGCGGAGACTCCGGACGCGCAGGCTCAGCGGCCATGGCTCACCGGCCCAGCCGCTCCGCGGCATGTGGGATCTTCCCAGACCGGGGCACGAACCTGTGTCCCCTGCATCGGCAGGCGGACCCTCAACCACTGCGCCACCAGGGAAGCCCGAAATAGATAAATTTTTAAACAAAAATATGAAGTTTTAAAAAAGGACAAGGCACTCTCATTTGTAGTTGGCCTTTAAAAGGATTAGGACTCTAAGTAAACACTGGGGGGCAAAAAAAGGAACTGGGGGAAGAGTCCTCCAGGCAAGTGTAGGAACCCTGAGGCTGGACACGGGTGTGTTTGTGGATGGCGAGTGTAGTTAGTGAGCACGACCAGGAGGTGTGAGGGTGGGAGGTGACATTATGTAAAAGTTCAGATGTATACACAGGTAGAGGGAATGAGGTCAGGGACCCTGTGTACCCATCACCCAAGTTCAGCAGTTACCAACTCACAACTAATATTGTTTATATACAGCCCCACTCTGCTTGTGCTCCCACCACGCACTTGAGATTTCATTTGTCAACTATGTTAGTCTGTACTTGTAAGTCGGATATCGTTCTAAGGGCAATGGAAAAGCATTGGAGACCTTTTAAGTGAGATAATGATTTTTTTAAAAATCCAAGGTTTAGAAAGATTACTTCATTTTGGGCTTCCCTGGTGGCGCTGGTGGCGCAGTGGTTGAGAGTCCGCCTGCCGATGCAGGGGACGCGGGTTCGTGCCCAGGTCCGGGAAGATCCCACATGCCGCGGAGCGGCTGGGCCCGTGAGCCATGGCCGCTGAGCCTGCGCGTCCAGAGCCTGTGCTCTGCAACAGGAGAGGCCACGACAGTGAGAGGCCCACGTACCGCAAAACAAAACAAAAACAAAAACAAACAAAAAGATTACTTCATTTTATTACATGAGAAACAGATTGTAGGAGCACAAGCCAGGAGAGCCAGTTAAGAAACATTAGTGGAGTTGAGGTGAGAGATGTGGTAATTTGCACCCTACGGTCATTACATGAAGACAGAACTGTGCTTGGATTTAGGCTGTGTTTTGCAGTTAGAGCCAATAGGTTGATGTGTGAAATATGGGAAGTTAAAGTTTGTTTAATTTACAATCAAAAGATAATATAAGCTCAGGGTATGTTCTTACATAGAATGTTATTGAAGCCCCCAAATTTGACCAGTCAGAACTCTGTGTATAGATTTAGACAGACATTCTGCTCACCATTTACAAATACAGGCAGCCCTCGGAGATGTTGCAGATTCAGTTCCAGACCACTGCAATAAAGCGAGTATCGCAACAAAGCGAGATACTCAAACTTGTTGGTTTCCCAGTGCATTTAAAAGTTATGTGTGCACTGTACTGTAGTCTATGAAGTGTGCAGTAGCACTATGTCTGAAAAAACAATGTACGTACCTTAATTTAAAAATACTTTATCACTAAAACATGCTCGTTAGTCTGACAACCCAGGGTTGCCATAATCCTCCGTTTGTAAAAAAAATTCAGTATCTGCAAAGTGCCATAGGTTGAAATGCCGTAAAATGAAGTATGCTTGTAATGCATTCTGTACCTAAAAGAGAACTTAGCTTAGTTGCCTCAATTATTTTTATGTATTTAAAATGTTTACATAATTATCTTTAGTTATAAAGTATTTAACATAAATATTCCTTGAAGACTTTGTTTTGTGTTTAATAAAAAGTCCAACATTTAGTACCTACATCATAGGGTACTGTGAGATTCAGTACCAATATATGTAAAGCACTTAAAACAGTACTTGGTCCATTGTAAACCTTCAGTAACAGGCTATAAAAATAAAAATATATGTAAACATAAGTGGATTATAAAAATGCTTTTCTGTTTCTTGTGTTCGAGAGCTGCACTGAACAATGTCAGTGGCATAGAAACAGAATTTTGGAGCTTAAAGAAATTTCATTAAGCTCTTCACAGATGCTGGCCACTGAGGGTAAAACAAAAGAGTCATGTAACTGGTTATCAGGAGAGAAGCTGTGCAGCTTGACATCGTTCTTGAAATTTTTAATTATTTGGTATATTTGGATTCCTGCTCCTAAAGCACCTTGGATCTGGGTTCGTAATAAGATTATGACAAAATAATTAGGAATATTTGTAGCTAATTTCTACAGCAACAACCTCATTGCTCCTTCACTGTAGAGTGGAATGTTACATACGGGCTGTGCCTGGATTCCGTGCAAAGTACCTCTTGTGCTAAGTTACGTAGAGAACTTAGTTCATCATTGATCTCATCTCATCTGAGACGGCAGGGATTCTGAATCTGAATTATAAGCAAGTTCCTTTTTTTTTTTTAAGCAAGTAAGTGTAAGTAAAATTGTCAATTATGTTTTTGGTTTAGCGTTTTAGAATTAAAGCAACTTAATTTTTTTTAGGATTGCCACATTATAAGGTTGAGTTAGTTAACCAAAGTCACACCAAAAAATGAACATTTAGGCAAAAGAAGTTTTGTGAAAAAAATTACGTAAGATATTCAGTTGATAAAAATGTATTGTTCATTGGTTCAATCCCATGATTTGTAAGTAATCATTTAACTAAATTTCCTTGTTTTGAGGCTGGTTGCAGAGCATACCTCGGACTGTATCTCTGAAGCTAGGGACTGTGTCTGTGTTCAGACACTTAGATTGTTATTGTCCGACACTCAAAGTTAATTGAGCATCATCGCTAAGTGCTTAGTGTGTGTTAACGCATTTGGTTCCCACCCCAACCCTGTGAGGTGTAGGTTCTATTATTATTTCCATTTTACAGCTGAGGAAGCTGAAGAACAGGGAGGGTTAACTTGCCAGAAGTGACGTAGTAAGCGGTCCAGCTGGCATATGAACATCAACCATCTGTTCAGGGTCCGGACTCCTAACCACTTTGTGGCCCTCATTAAATATATGCATGAGTGAACGGATGGAGGCTGAAAGCATGCATGAACAAATGGACGAGTGAAGAAGGAAACTGTAAAGAGATTAGAAACTAGTGACAGAAAGACAGGGGTATGGGGAACGTTAGCTTTCAAAACTCACATGTTCTCTATCTACCTTAGGCTCTAGTTGGGTAGCATCCTTCACAGTAGACTGAACAGATAAATAAAATAAACAGATGGATAGATAAAAGTGACCATGTTGAAACACTTCTGTGTTTTTGACCAGTGTGTCCTCGAAATTTGCTTAGCATGAGACAAGGGAGTAATCAGATTTTAGACATTCAGGCATATCTAAGGTGTGAAAGGAGGAGGAGATGATGATTGAGATCTCCCTTTTCTTTCCCCAACAGTTCAATCAGTGTGCTAAATACAGCCCCTGAAGAATCTAAGCCAAATCAGGTTGGAAGAGAATGTACAAATCAGAAGTGGAGCGTGGCATCAAGGCCTGATTCACAGGAAGGTTGCTGTAGTGGATGCTCCTCGACCCACGCGGATGCTCACATAGAGAAGGATGACTTACCTTAGACATGTGAACTGGGATTTTTTTTTTTTTTTTCATTAACATGTTCATCAAATTTCACATCTGAGTTGAAACAGGGTGTGTTATAAAGTCAATCATCTCTAATAATTTAAAATGGTCTGTGTTGTTTGTTTGGACTTCCCTGTTCCTCCCCCAAAGAGCTAAAATGTTAAATCTATTTAAAAGGATATAAAAGCTTTGGATATGTATTTTTAGTAACAGAAGCACCTGGTTCTGTGAATAAAGGAATGTATAAACGTTTGGATGCAAACAAAGCACTAGAATGAGTTTCCTCTTATAGGTATTAAAAATAGCACTTTTAGGAAACTGGTTATTGTAAATGTTTAATTTTGTCTCATATATAGTTGGCATTGGAAGTTTAGCCTTTCCTTGAATGTATACTGTAGCTTTTTAACAAAGCAAGTTATATATTTATTATGTTTAGTGTGATTTGAAATACCCTCTTTCATATGTTTTAAATAAAGTGAAATTTATGTATGTTTTGTACATAGATATACATGATTATGTTAAGAGGCTTTAAGATTTAAAGATTTTACACATCCATAATTATAGTATTTCATGCCAATAAAATTTTTATTAGTGATATTCTGTTTACAGATGTATTAGAGCCATTGCCACCTTATGTTTAAGAATTTTTTGAACCCATCTGAGCAATAAATACTGAAAAGGTATTCCATGAAGCCAAGTTCTTTAGATCATTAACATTACTAATGTTACATTTTGGAGATTTCTACAGCATTAGGTTCTTTTAATATGCAGGATACTACAACTTTTCAAAGGCTTATTGATTTTAGCGTAATAGAGGTGAGACAAGAGTACCTTTGGATGAAACCATTTAAGGATATTGGCTTAGGATATTTGGATGATAGAAGCTATTAAGATATTTAAGATGTTTGGATGGTGATATTTTCTCTACCAGATGGGTACCCATACCGTAACACCTATACCAGCAAAGGCTTTGTACAGTTGCCAATAATTCTTTAATATAATTTTTTCAATGAGATATTTACTGATAAGGAAATCTGATAACATAAAAGCATCAGATTTTATAGTCCAGATATGGTACTCTGGACAAACTTGTCATTTCACTTTCAGGACTGATTGCATGATTCTTCATGGTTGTTATTGTTATTATTATTGATAGTAAGAATAATGTAAGTGTGGGCCCAAGCACTTTCCTAGAATTTTCATCAGAAAGCTTTAAGTACCTAACTCTATTTGTCTCTGCATGTAGAAGCCTACACATATCCAGTCCTTGCTATAGGTATTGTAGCCTAGGCCCATCTGCCTTCCCATTTTCTAGCAGTTTAACCGTTTGTATTCACTCACCTGGTTGTGGCTGTTCAGTTTAAGTTTGTCATGTTAAAAAGTACTTTTGTCGGGCTCCCCTGGTGGCGCAGTGGTTGAGAGTCCGCCTGCCGATGCAGGGGACACAGGTTCGTGCCCCGGCCTGGGAAGACCCCACATGCCGCGGCACGGCTGGGCCCGTGAGCCGTGGCCGCTGAGCCTGCGCATCCGGAGCCTGTGCTCCGCAGCGGGAGAGGCCACAACAGTGAGAGGCCCATGTACTGTAAAAAAAAAAAGAAAGTACTTTTGTCATCCACTCACTCACTATATATATAACTTTGGAGTTGCGTAGCAGCAGCCATTTTTTCAGGGTTAATAGCATATTATTGAGTATCTTGTAAGACATTAGTGAAAGTGCTCATGAGAAAGTAGTACCACATTTATAGTCTCAAAAAGCTGGCTCTTGAGCAAAAGCAAATTAGTCACCGCATTCAGCTTGGTGCATGCCCCTTTTTTACCATTTAAAAATATTAGAAATGATGCAGAATTTCAGAAGTAGTACCATACTCCAAAGGAAGAAACAGCTGTGATATCGTTCTTTTGCTATTGAGCAATAACGTGATCGAAGAAAAGCAATCAAATTTTCTAAATAGGCAGTGATACATTTGTCAAGAATTGGGGTTTTTTTTTCAGGGCTTTCTATGATATACTCGGCTAGAAACAGTGTTCTAATTTTCAGAGTAATCTCTTATTTTAGGAATATTGCATTCCACAATGATGAATTTCTCCAAAGCAGCATCAGTTTTTTGTTTTTTTCATTTTAAAGTTGGTTGAATTCTCATATTGGAGAGAGAAATTCCCTTGAGACTTACTTTGAAATCTAAGGTGTGAAAGAAACAGTAAAATGAAAGCCAGGATCATTGTGCTTTTGATAAAAGATCTGCCAGTAGTTGTATGTTTTACTTAACAGCGTAGAGTCTGCTTTACATTCCAGCTCCAATGACGATTCGTAGTCACGCTAAACTTCCTAGAATGTTGAAACGGTTTCCATGCTGGATAAATCCTGACTCCACACATAAAACTCCTAGATTTTATTCGCCTTCCCTCTCTAGGTGTTTGCAGTTTACTAGTAATACAGCCGTGCTGCAGTCTTGCATTTAGCCAAGATGAGGTGAGAGAGAACCATGTTCACTTTTGCTTGAAAGTCTTCCTGACCATTTTCAGTGTCTTCTTCTTTATCAGGATGCAGATCTGAAACATTCTGTGCCTTACTTGTTTTTATCCATTTTGAATTTTCAAAGCATAAAAGTGGCAAAGAAAATTTAAGAGATTTTATTTCCTACTCTTAAATTTTTATATCTTCAATTTATGATGAGAAACTTAATAGGAGAACAATCCTACCAGAAAATTAAGATTAAACTTAATAAATAGGTACTTTCTTGTAGAAGCAATGTATTAACTGTGTAGATTCACGGAACAATCCATGGCAAATTGTTTTCCTCATGGTATAATTAAAATACTGTCGTTACTTAGAATTGCATTTTTCGTACCTTTGCTGCCCAGACTTGTTCATAGGCCTGTGGTAACACTTTTTTGGGGGAAACATATTCCATGGTACATGGTGAGAAGGAGAGCGCCCTAGAATCCAGTTTTGACCTGCCCTGGTGGAGCGTTTTAAAACGCCCGGAATGCCAGGAGAGGTTTTGCAGTGTGTATGCACAGAATGCTGTGAGCTAGCAGACCCCTTATGTGATTGCCCTGTTGTAAAAGTCTTGAACACCTGTTGCCTGATGTAAATCATGTTCTTATTTCTAGATTGGATTTAAATTAAGTATGGGTCTTGGAAGTCTAGTAAATATACTTCTCCCTATGTTTGTCCTTAATTTTTTTCATTCTTTTCATAAGCATATAAAAGTAGCTGCTGTGTGTCAGGGCTTATTACTACCTTCTAGTTACTGGGGAGGGAAAGACAACTAAGCACGCTCCCTGCCACTGAGAATCTCTGGGTTGAGTGGAAGACCAGCTATATAAACCTAAATTGTCATAAACAATGGGTGATGCTGTTCAGACATTCGGTCTGGTGATAAAACTTGGACTCGTTGTTCTGCTCCAGGATCACGTATCCGTCTCCTAACAGTGACGTGGCAAGCTTCTAGTTAAAGAGTCTTTGCGTTATTTCCTATGGGAAGAACTATGTAATTAATATATTACTGTTTTGTTTTTGTTGGGTGTTGGGTTTTGTTTTTGTTTTCTACAATCAAAATACCTGCAAAGCAGCATTAAGGATTTCCGCCCACAAGAACATGTATTATTATCTAATAGAAAAAGAATTTACAAAGATTTGGGCCATGTAGATAAGGGTAATGAAATAGGTTATTCTAGTCATTTCTCTAAATATGATGTTTTTTTCAGGTTGGATGTAGATTAAAGTGGAATGGACTGATTAAATTATTTGATTTATATAAAAATACTTCACTTGACTGGTTGGTTTTTTTGGTTTTGTTTTTTTAACGTTTACAAATACCTGATTTCAGAGATCTTAGGAGGTACTGTAATGCCAGTGTTACATAAAGATCCTGGTAGAGACCCTCTTATGTTTTAGATTCAGAAATACTTATACCTCATATGACGCTTAACCCGTAGTGAGCACACAATATTTATTAATGAGAGAGATGAAATACTAATGAAACAAGTAGCACATTACTTCATTGGCATGAATGGACTACATTTCAGGTCAAAATCCTGAAACTCTTCTTTCTCAGGAGGGCTAGGAGCCTTTTGTTTTGGTTGATTTCCAGCCCTATCTAGCTTGGTTCCTCGCACAGAGAATTGGAATAGAGTAGGCCATTCTACAGTGAAAAACACCAAACTTGTGTGGTTCAATACAAAAATTCAATTCTTGCTCATGAAATGACCAGCGTGGATTGGGCGGTCTGCTCGATGGCCCGCAATGTCAAATCGGAGAAAGAGCAGACTGGCAGGTGATGGTGGATATTAAGAGCCAGATCTGAAAGAGACACGCACATTGCTTTGTCCACAACCTAGACTAGACGTACAGCCTCAACCTAACAACAAACGACTGGGAGATGCAGAAAATGAGGCTAGTTGGTGAGCACTGATAGCTCTGCTACAAAATGTGCTTGATGTGTTACTTACTTTAAAAAAAAAAATAACCAGCAAAACATATTACTCTGTGCAAGGGATTTTTTTACTGATTATTTATTAAAGCTTCAAATCGTCTTAATTTTTGGAAGGAATGTATTTTAAGGCTTCTCTTGCCTTCTCTAACCTTTTCATAATACGAAGTTTTTTAATGTCTAAGTGGTAATTTTACACGTTTACTAAAATATAGTATACTGAACACATTTTCTTTTGATTCAGCAACCCTGCAAAATAGAATATTAACCTTCCTATTTTTAGAGAGTTGGTAACAGACTCAGGAGATATCAAGGGACAAATGCAAGCTCACATAATTATAAGTGACAAAATCAGAACTGAAAAACCCAGATCTTATCATCCCTAAATTTCAACTTATTCCAGACTGCTGTAGTGCCTTTTGGTATGGCTTTCTGAGTGAAATTGTTCAGTTCTTAACCCATAATCTGTCACCCTGTCATCTCCAAAGGTATTGATTGTTTGATCCACATACGAAGCTCACCCTTGTTTTTGTTAATGGTGACCATGGCAGTCCTATTCAGAACTGAATCTCTACCTTTTCAAGTTTAGGGCATTAAGGATCTAATTGAGATAGCCAATTTAATAGCAAATAATACTCTAACTAAAGGTCACTGAGTAATGCCAAGATACACCTAGACAGCCTGCTTTTTCTGCCGTGTCTTTTGTTCTCTCGTAGTGTGTGCACCACGTCCCTCTGTGACTACAGCCACAGTGACCAAAAACATTGTTTTGTCCAATGGTCCAGTAATCTTTTGCAGATATCACCATGAAAAATGAACGTTAAAGTAGTAGAATTAAGTAACGTGTATGAATATTTTTACTCAATTTAGAAAGAACAGCTGCTTGCAGGGCAGCTGGAGATTTTCTAGTTTCCCTGCTGTGTCTGCATTTAGATATTTCGTTTTCTTGTTTCTGGTTTGTCAAGACAGTTTCCTGGTTACAGTGCTCCATTAAAGAAAACCACGCCCCAGCCCAGTGTACTCATTAGAAAAAAGCAGACTTTTGCACGTTCCCTAAAGCCCTCAGACTGAGACCCCAGAACCTGCCCTCCATTCCAGTTCTCTGGACCCAATTCTCTAATATAGCTGGTGTCTAAGCTGAGGCGGAAGCTGTCCAGCT